GATCATGTCTGTTTTGTTCACCAGTGTATACTCAGAATGTGAAGAGTGCCTGGAACATTTTAGGTTCTCAATAAATATGCGCTAAATGAATGGATAAACATAAGGCACCCCCCAAACCTTTCAAATATATAAATTAAAAAATTAAATCACATTTTAAGGAAATTAGTTAAGGGAATTAACTAATAATTGGTAGCTGTTATGCTCTGATCATTGTCCCCAAACTTTCTTTTATTCCTTAGAATAATTCAGTTTGTTTAACAGTAGTTCAAGCAGTAAATTATGAAAAAATCCCCAATTTAATTAAAATAAAAACTTGCTAAAAAAGCTTAGATTTATTAATCTGTGACAAAATTAATTATATTAGAGTTGATAATCTATGTGTTAGTAATTATATTTTTATTAATGTATTTAGGAAATCAAAGTACATTTTAAATGAATCTAATTGCAAATTATAAAAAGATGAGTCTTTTGTGATAAATGTTAGTTTTTAACTTAGTATAATGAAATCTAAAGTGGCAAAAGGAAAAATAAATGAAGAAATAAATAAGATAAAATAGTTTTAAAATTCTGGTTTTAGTATATGAAAACAAAATTATATTGAAACACAATTGAGCTGTAGCTCTCCTCCGCTTATTCCTGTAACTCTCAAATGATACGCAAAAGTTAACCGATCTAAGTCAGGGGAACCAATAATGGTTTCCTTTTAAGTAGTGCCTTTCATCTTGGATTCTGAATGTATATTTTTCAAAGGCATCCCTCTGTTTTATCAAGGCAAACTAAAAAGCTGACATGACATTCCATGTTGAGTAAGTGCATAAATAGATTCATGGACAGTAATAGGTCTCAGCAGGAAAGAAGCCATGATCTCAACTTCCAGTTCACTGGTTTTAATATCAGGTTCATTCATTGACTTTTCCATTTATTCATTAATATTTATTGAATTTATTATGGGTCAAGCCGTAGGGAAGGTCTTAGCAATGTAATAGTGAGCAAAACAGAGAAACTGTTTTAGAGAGTAAATTGCTCACAATGTAATAGTGAGCAGAGACACAATTCCTGACACTTCCATAAGGAAGTGTTGATTTCATCAATAAATCTGACTCTAATCTGATCTAATAATTATATATTACTATAATGGGGGATTACATTTATATATTATTTTGTTCAGTCACTTACAAGATAGGATTGCATCTTTCTTGTCAAAGTACTCTACCTTAAGTGAATGGGTTCTCTATAGTTATTTTAGCAACTAAGCACAAAGTTATCTTTTCCTTTATCAAGTGGATTTCTTCTTTTTTATTTATCATATTCCTTTACCTCTGATTTTATGTACATAAGTGATTATTTATTTAAGGTCTTTGTTTCCTGTTGACTATTTGAAACAGCTGCAAAGCTGGGTCACGTACTAACCAAAATCAAAGTCCTGTGCTATGGCTACAAGTTGATCATCTACCCATTATTAGAAGACAAGTCCTTGAAAAGTCCTGTAGGCCTTACCTTCTTCCACTGTGACAGTCTGTTCTGAGGCTGGCGATGGGGGTGGAGAAGGAGGCAGATTAGCTGTATCTTCAGCTGCTAAAGATCAAACAATGGAAAAATGAGATACAATAAATTAATCCTATTAGGCTGGTAGATGTGTAGGCAGTTCTGTCATTATAAAAAGGCCTCTGTATAAAATTCAGAAAAAGATTCAATAGTAAGCTGCATTTGACTTATTTTTAGGCTCATTACTTGATTCATGTATTTTTGAAAATCTAAAAAGACAAGTACTTAATATTTTCCAAAGCAATCATTTTGTCTTCTCTATAAAAAATGGATTAGAGATGCCTGCTAAAATTCCACCATTAATCTCATTAATTTGTGTCTATTTATTCAATTAACAAAACATTTCATTTTGGGCCTAATTTTGTGTGAAAACACACACAAACATGCACTTTAATTTGGAATCAGCTAGATTGACTCAAAAAAGTATTAAAACTCTCTATTGTTAAACTGGTTGATCTGGAAATAAATGTTACCTTTTTCACACAAATGTCATTTTAGGGGACATATTTTTTAAATAACATTTGTCTACTGGGTCTAATGTCAAAGCCCATCTTTTGTAGGTATGTTCAGAAAAGAAAAATGAAGCTTTCTTAGCCTGAGGCAACCATTAGACATAAACCACGTGCTAACAGTGGGAGCTGAGTAAGCTAAGCTTCTGGCCTTGGCATTACATGTGAGGAAGGACGAGAGAGAGGTTCTAAAACATGTAATTCATTCACAGTTAACTCTGAGCTCTCCTCTTCAAGACACTTACCTTCCGTATGACCCCTCATATGAAAGTAAGGAATTTCCAAAGGAAATATTTCTCATTTAAGTCCAGTGATTAAATCTATTCTAAAGATTATGTCAATTTCAGTTTGATAAAGCAGTTAGTAGAGGAAACTTAGGGATGACAGATGACTTCTTAGATCCTTACCCTGTGGGCTTCTGCATGGCATATTTTAAAATTTCAAATTAAAAAAAAATAAGTTTTATTTCAAAGAATAAAAGTGAACAATAGACTGAAGTTTACTGTTTTAGATTAGACCATTGTTCCTTGTTTTAAGAGAAAAATAGTCCTTGATAATTAAAAAATTCAGTATTAAAATACTCAGTATATTCTAAATTATTATTCTGGGAGAGAACACTATTTTTATTACTTGCTTTTTAACAGACAAAGGGGTACCAATGATAAAATCAAATATTAAGGGTATATTAGACTATAAGAGAGGAAAATAGATATATGGTATTTTTAGACCTTAAAAACCATACCTTTCTATGAATCAGGTATATGTATCTGTAAAGTAAACATATCTGTTGGAGTATATGAGAGTCTCTTTTTTGTTTCTCTTCATGTATATTCATATACATCTATTTGTCTATCTATCAACTATTGAATAGGGGCAGCAAGCCCTTGGCTGAGAGTGGTTTACCTTGGCAAACATGGCACGTTACTTGCCTGGCCCTGGAGGGTGACCAAGGGAGAGGGCAGTGCTATCTCAGTGACCAGGAAAAGGTCACTGCCTCACATGGAATACAAAGTCAGATGACTGTAACAAAGCTCTGGTTATAAGTCTTGTGCAGCCAGATGAGGTAGGTCCAAACAAGACTATAGTATAGATAAGCATTCAACAAAATCCATAAAAGGAAACAATCATCTCTATATTAAAGTTTTAGTACATTTTCCTTATGGGTGGGTTCATCAAATAAAAATGCATTGGCTTTAGTTTTATAATAACTATCCCTAGTGATCTGGAAAATGAAACATTAAGGGCCCACTTATGGAAAAGTCTAACTGGAAGCTTACCACCCTAACTAAAGACTACCCAAATATCACAATGAGCCAGTTGAAGATGGTGAAAATGGGTCCCAGTACATTCCAGTAGAGGAGTTTGATGAATGCTACGTGTAAAGACAAAGTACAAGATATGGCTTATCTTTGGAACACAAAGACTTTATCCTGCCATCAGGATGCAGCACACACAGCTACCTGACCTGAGGCTCTTATTTACCTAAAGGCAGAGCTGCAGGCTGATCTTTATGCTGAGCTTCTTTTTCTTGTTCACCTTTCAGGACCGCTACAGCCTCAGCCGTGACTACTTGAACTATCCTTGCAGACACCTCCTCTGTAATAAACAGTAACAAAAGAAAATATAACAATGAGAAGTGAAGAACAGACAGCAAAGAGGAAAAGTAACCAAAGACTTTAGTGGATTTAGAATTTCATTTTTACTGTTTTCCCCCCAAAAAGTACAATATAATTTTAACTACAGATACAACAGAAACATATATATAACATAAATAACTATATGTATACAGAAAATAAAAAGAAAAGAAAAGAAATTGGCATTTTGGGAGCTAAGCTAAGCAATATGAACACAGAAATAAGAAAATAATTACTTTACTTATATGGCACTTTATTGTTAAAGAGCTGTTTACACAAATAGGAACAATTTAATTTCTATGAACCTAGTAAAACAAATTCAAAGAGAGAAGAGAGGATTCATTTTGACTTTAACTTAAATATATTTCATAGTTTTCTTATACTATTCTAGAAAATGTCATTTAAATAAATTTGTATGCTGATTTGCAAAAATACTATGATTTAAAACCTGAAGAAGATGCCTCAAAATGTATGTTTGTGATTAGATGGAATTTTCCAGGATGAGTGGGAATAAGAAAAACTATGAAGAACTTGGAAAGATTAAATTTTAATGAAATGCATGGTAATGATATATCAGATGGTCTCTTTATAAAGAGCTACTACTTTCCTACATAGGATATGGAACTCATAAGTGCAATGATATAAACTCATAAGTGCAATAGTTTCATTTTTTTAAAAAAGGAGCTTGTCATTAAAATGATAAGTCTGTAAAATGCCAGATAAGTAGTTTTTAGCTTGAAATGTCTTCCACTGGAGCAAATCAAAGTTAATTTTGCATAACCTAGTCAAAAAAAAAGATTAGGAAAATGGTGCTCATATCATCATATCATCAACCAAAAATAGAAGTAGCCTTTTGAAATTAAAAATGTATTCTAGATTAGATATAAATTCTACAGAATTTAACTTTCCATCATCTTTATATAAAAGCATGTACAGTACTAGAAAAATAAGCCCAGTTATGGCCCTAATAGAAATATGTTGTACTGGATAAGGAGAGGGGTGGTAGGATTTTTTTCTCACAATTTTAGTGAAGATATTAGAATACATTTTTTATTATAATTTTATTATAGCTCATGATCAAAATTTGCACTTTCACAGCAAGGTTTGGGGAGATCTACCTGTTTTTGGCTGGCTCATTTACATTCCACCTCCTCTGGAAAGCCTTCCACACCTCAGCCAGGATGACAGAGAGTATAGTGACCCCAAGCTTTTGGGATCAGCAATCCACTTGGACAAATTTATCTGAATTTTAAAAGCTGGATTACCTGATTAAGAATATTTGTCTTTATATGTATAACTTCCAGATATTTTTCCTAGCCACATGACTATGTATATTCTTAAGGGATGCACTACAAACACTTTTATGTAGGCTGCGTAGCAGTAATAGCAGTAGAAGTAGCATTTAAATCTCTGCTAAGGGATTTGTCCTCATCTTCTTAACAAGTTATTTACTATTATTGCTCCCATTTTGCAGATGAGGAAACAGAGGGTTAGACCAGAGAATTGGATATTCTTATTATAAATATACCTAGAATATCAATTTTAAAAGAACTAAGGTATTATAAAATTCCTTATATACTAAAATTAAACTAAATGTGATTTAATTCCTTTATGCTTGAAGTCTCATTTAGTGGAGCTGGGGCTCTCATTCAAACTTCAGTTATCCAAAGATGAAAATAAGCATTGATAAGCTAATTAAATTACTTCTGAAAAAGCTTTAATTTCTTAGCAAGGCTCCAAAAAAATTTGTGTCATATATTGATATGTCAAGTACTTTTCATAAAGAGAGTTTGTATACAATATATTTTGCACCCTCAATTTATAATAGTTTAAAAAAAGTATTTTTTATTAATACTACAAAAATATATGGATTGTGATTTCAAAATGAAGCAATAATAATGGTATAATTCACTAATTGATAATGATGCTTTATGCTATACAATTTAATTCAACATCACATAATTTTAGAGCTAAAAGGAATTTTAGAGATGATTTTGTCTAAATCCTTTAATTTTATAGATGAGGAAATAAGGTCAGGTATGGTTACAAAATTTGCCCAAGTTCACATTCAAGTTTTCTGATTATTATGATGTTCTTTCTCTTAAGCAAACAACAACAGAAGGAATAACAAGCAAATAATCACAAAAACTCTCTAACAGTCAGGAATGAATGACTAATGGAAACATATCAACGCTTTTAATGGTATGGACCAAGGAAACATACTCTCAGACTTACTTGTCTATCAAAAGTATGCTATTGTTATTCCTGATTATAGGAATAGAGACTGCTATAAGTGATTAGTTATAATTCAGTAATATCTATCTATCTATCTATCTATCTATCTATCTATCTATCTATCTATCTATCTATCTCTAGAATCTATGATCTACCTACCTACCTATATATCTGGTAGATCATGTTAGATATTGTGGCAGCTAACCTCAGAAAGATGAAATATTTTATTTCTAAGTAGTATTTTATTAGCATTTTTGTTCCATTTCAGTGTTTGAACAGAATTTTTCACAGTTGCTACAGTTAAATAAATAACATTAACAGTCATCAAAACATTGTGAGGAAAATTAACTGCTAAGCTCCTCAGTGAGGTGGGCAGTGGAGAAGGAAGTGCTATATGTTTTCATGAAACCAGGCTGCTGGGTGGGGATTTTCTGATCATTCCCTGAAAGGCTGGGCTCTTAAAGTGATGTTTTCAATGGGAAAGAGCATTACGAAAAGAACTGCAGAAAATTAAATTTGAAGACAGCTCTTAGATGTCTAAATTGCTTGATAATGTTACAAAATATTATTTTAGGTTTTGAGAATTATCACTCACATATATTAATTTTCAATGTAATTCAGGTTTTAAAAAATCAATAGAGTAAGGCAGCTTCTTCCAGCACCCCAGCGTTTTGTGGAAAACTGGGTGTAATGAGGTAGAGTAAGCATGGTAGAAATTGGGACATACATAGGACCCTTGTGTCTTCTGGATCATTTCTGAATCTTCCTATCAGCACTTATGCAGAACCTAGTATCTCCCATGGCATTTAGTACATCTTGCAATGGAATTGTGTTGGTACACATGGCTCATCTTCCCTACTATGGTAAGGATTCCCAAGTCAAGGACTCCTGTTTGTCATTGCTACAATTCTTGAAGCTTCTCTTATTGAGCTTTATCTAGATTAGATGCTTAACAAAATTTCTTGGAAAAGATGAAAAATGACCATGAAAGGTTTTGTTCATATTTACACAAATTAACAATGCCACTTGTGTAGTGGTATCATGCAAGATTCCCATATTTACACAATTTCAGGAATAATTCATGCTTGTTACTATATTTACTAACTTTATCTATTTTTTAAAAGCTGGCTTTGTCTGTCTCTTAACATATACATTTTACTCTATTACTCAAATAGTTTATTTCAACTTTTATTAAAAACAAACCAAATCCAGTAACTTTTCCAATGCCTTACTAGAGGGTTGCCTCACAACGGAATCATCATTTCTGGAGGGGTATATTTACTAACTTTAAAACTCCCAAATTATCTCATTTAGTCTATTATTATTTAAGGATTGATATCTATTATTAGAGTATTTCTTAAAAGGGGGCCCTTGTATTCTCGTGTACCTATTGATAGATTTTTAGGGTCTGAGAATATTTTACATGAATTAATTTTTTTTCAGATTGGGAAAATAATCCAACATAAATAGTACAATTATCTATTGGTTTATGAAAACAAATTATAACTGAAAAATGCTACATTATTTCAGTCTTTTCTGTTTTGATTTGTATTTAGAATAGAGTTTTGATATCATGAGTTATTTTAAATATTAAAGAGAATAAGAAGAGAACAGAGGTGAACTTAATACATAAAGGTGCATTCATACAAATATAGGTCAGATAAGACTGTGGTGCATTGTATAAATGGACTTTAAAAATAGTCTAACAGAAACAATTTGAAGGGAGAATTGAATCATTAGCCTCCAGTCGGTACAGACATGTCCAACCTCGATAGAATGCTCTGATCATTCTGATTAGCCAGAATCACATTTAATTGTGATCAGAAATTTACTTTCAGCAAAACAGTATCATTTATTTTAATGGGAGGCAGTAGGATATTTGAATTTTACTGGTTTTGTTGTTTCAGAGAAAACTGATTAATAGATGTGTTTGAGTTCCGCAGTGGAATAAGAACTACACTGCTGGTGGGACTGCAAACTGGTTCAGCTTCTGTGGAAAGCAAGATGGAGATACCTTAAAGCAATAAAAGTAGATCTACCATTTGATCCAGCAATTCGACTACTGGGCATCTACCCAAAAGATCAAATGACACTCTACAAATGGGACACCTGCACTCAAATGTTTATAGCAGCACAGTTCAAAATCGCAAAGGTGTGGAAACAACCCAGGTGCCCATCAATACATGAGTGGATTAATAAAATGTGGTATATGTATACCATGGAGTACTATTCAGCTTCAAGAAACCATGGTGATATAACACCTCTTGTATTTTCCTGGATAGAGCTGGAACCCATTCTACTAAGTGAAGTATCTCAAGAATGGAAAACGCAAGCACCACATGTACTCACCAGCAAATTGGTATTAACGGATCAACACCTAAGCAGACATATAGAAATAACATTTACTGGGTGTTGGGTGGGTGGGAGGGGGGGCATGGCAATATATGTAACCTTAACACTTGCACCCCCATAATATGCTGAAATAAAAAAAAAGAACTTATGAATAAACTGATTTTATTTTTGTGCATATTTAATCAAAAATTGTAAGAAAATAATTTAACCACATCTTGGGAAAATTGGCAATTTTTTTCTTAAAAAGTATTTAACAGATTTTGAGAAATGCTATTTTAGCATAGTCAAACAGGTTGTATGGGGGCCAAGTTTGTATTGGCTTAATTGACATATTATCTTTTAAGTTTTTTAAATAGAATAATATTGTTAAAATGTTTCAAATAGGATATAAAGCATTTTATACTATACTTTTCATGGTGAATTTAGGAAAGCATTGAATACGACTGTTTTGGGGATTTCGATTGTTTTAGTCAATTTAAAATCTTCCTTTAAGCAAGGGCTGTCAGCAGCAGGGAAGACAGCATTCCTGAAGAAGGAGAGATGGCCTCCTCCCAGTGGAGATCTACTCAGCAGATCTACTGGGTGAGCTTCAACCTTATGGCCTGGCTCCTGGGACAGGAGCAAATTTGCTCAGGGTTTGAATAAAGTTCAGAGAAGATGAATGGTGAATGTGCCAAATAAAACAGAGAAGACAGTCTCAAAATCAGACCTATAAAAATAAAAATGCAATGGTTATGATGTGCATGTAATTTATATATGATTTCTTCATTCATTCTACATTTATCCATTAAATGCCTCTCTCTGTCCACCCAAACAACCATCCATCCATCCATCCATCCACCCACCCAACCATTCATCCATCATGTCTTATTGTCTATCTAGGGGCTTACTGTCTTTTATAGTGTACATTGGAGGAAGTCTTATAGACTTTAATTTAGGGAAATATGTGTACAAACTCCACCATTGCTACTTTCTATTCATTTTATTCAAAGAAATTTACTCAAACTAATTGTGCTTCAGTGCCTCACCCATAAAATAAAAATATTAATAGTACCTATAAAAGAGGTTGTTGTCGGTAGGCAATTGCATAATCATATATAAAAGGCCTGGCATATCAAGGAATTCAGACAAAAGGAAGACTTCCAGACAGTCTTCACCAAGGTGCCCTTATTTTCCCCTAACCATACATTCTTCTGAGTCCTAATATTTTTACTTTAAAGAGAGAGCAACAATGATATGTGCTAAGGGTCCAGCCCAACTAGGCTATTATTATTATATTATAACCATTTGATAATATAGTTAATCCAATATCACTGATGTTGATGACTATGTTGATGGCCTAGAGTATTTTTCTTTTTTATGACAAAGCTATGAGGGAAGTAAATATTGTCTTTGCTATTTATTTTCTGGCTTCGTCCCCAATTTCTTGGCTGTGTAGGTCCTGGGCTACCATCTGCTCAAGATCCCTGCCAGCAAGTCCCAGTTCAGGACTGTCTTCTAGACAGTGCTCCAAAAGATAAGGTAACTCTGTCTATTCCTGAGGACAATTAGCAACATGAAAAATTCTCTTTGAAGTAAGAAATTAGATTACATTTTAATTTTTCATTGCTTACTTTTTCTACTTTCTATTGTTTTTTTCTACTTTCTACTCTATTTTTTATACATTTCCTTTCAAACATATGTGTAAAGTTATGTTGTTTAGAAGATTAAAAATAAGTCTAGATTACACATAAATTGGGAAACTGTTATTCATTATATTTAATTGAGGGGTTATATTGATTGATCTTCATACATAGCTGAAAACATTTAAAAATATAAAAACTGCTTATTATAATCTAATATTTTGGAAGTCCCAATTATCTTTCTTTTGTATTTCTAAAATGTTCTGTAAGTGGACATTTTTAGTTTATGTTAGAAATTACCTTAGGTAATGAGTGTGTGATATGTACTTCTATGCTCTCTTTTGTGAATGAATGTCAGGATTTCAATGTAACTAACAATAGTTTTTGTATAGCAGTGAGAACCTTATAAACCAGTACTTGAACATTAACTTATTATTTTATCAGTAGTGTCAATGTGATAATTATGCAGTTTCTACTAGTAATAAACAAAATCTTATGGCCGTAAAATCATGTCCCGGCTACACAAAATGAATGATGACTTGTAACTAATCTAATAAGTGGATCTGTCTACAAATCACTTATAAGGAAAACATTAAAAATAACTTCTCTAATTCATCTCATAACTTCTAAAATATATAATGATTGATTATAGACTGATATAAAGAATAAACAATTTAAAAATTTAGTCCAGGGAACAGAGTAATAGGTGATAGATAGCTCATCATCACTATATAGGAAAACACCTGAAGACAAAAAGTAAAGTCTGTCCTTAAAACTTTTTCTGGGCAACAGAGATGGGATCAATATTCATAAAAGAGCATCAAAGCAGTCCTCCCTAGATAAATTGAATTCTGGAAAGAAATAATATTTTTTGTCAGGATTGGGAAAATATAGTGGTGGAAACATATACAGGAGATAAGTAAGTATGAGAAACTAACTGAGGCATGCTCCCATCCAGACAGCTACTTGGTAAAACCCAAATGGTATCATGTTAGGCTACTTACATTTCAGCTAACTAATGAATAAACATCATACTGTTAAACAAGGTCATTAAACAAGTTGTTATATTAGAAACAATCATTTCTTGTTGATACTGTTTAAGCCACATATGTCCACATTGTCCAGATGAGAAAATTGGCAAAGTAATAACTAAAAGTAACTTACTGTGGCATTCAGGCATCACTGTGATTTACATCAGTGTAGTACAAATATATTATATAGCAGTAGGTGCTGGTGTCAGAAAACCTGGGATCAAATTCTGCTTCCATCTCTAACTAGCCACAAGACCTTGGTTAAGTGATAATCTCTCTAACCTTCAGAATCCCCATCTGTAACATGTGAATAAAAGTGCTATTCATCTTTTACTGTGTTGTGACAATTAAATGAAATAGTATGTGTCAAGTGCTTATTTAAATTGGGTATCATTGTTTTCATCACTCTTCCTGTTTTGCTATCATCTAAGACTATGATCATCATTTGATTGACAAGACCTGAAAGTTTTTGTCCGACATTGAGATGATTCTGTCATTTTACCCAGTGAGTATCTCCTTGCTTGAATGTTGGGCCACTGCCTAACATCTGATATATCAGGCTCCTGACACTTATTAGCCTAAAATGATAAAATGCACACAAAGTCAATTTTACCCTACTATGGTGCCATATTGCTCAGCAACCCTCTGTTTTTTTCTTTGATGTTGATTCATTCTACCCCATTGCCATGCTCTTCTTGTCACAGTATTTATCACATCAAAAATTTTCAGACAGACTCAGGCCTGTTTTTAGCACTTTTTTTGTTCAATTATTTTGTAATACTAATTTACCAATATTTCTTGGTTGATTAATAATAAAAGCAATGGAGTTGAAACTTTCTCAATGACCCTGACAGTTTCCACTTGCTTCTGAGTGATATATAACATTGATGATAGACCCATACATAAACTTGATTTTGAATGCATAACCTTTGGTGTTTTTTTTTAAATCAGGAACAGCTATGATTACTTGAACATGTGAAGGCTCACCAATTAAACTATAAACAAAAAAGACAAGCACCTTGGCATAGGCCTGAGAACATATTTTTGTTGTTGTTAAGAGAGAAGCAAGAGACATTGACAGTAAATTCAACCATATGGGATACAAAAGCCAGTAAATGTTTCTGCTTTTAAGAATCTCGGGTACAATAGTGCTGTGTTAAAAGAAATGACAAATAAGCTTACCGTACACTTGTGGAATAAGGAAAACAAAGCAATTTTAGACACAATGCTCCTGTCAAGAAAAGGTTTTTCTCAGTAGGGTACAGAATGGTTGCCTAGGAAACCAATGCTAATTGCTGCTGCTGATGGAAACTAGTCAACAAGGAAAGCACTGTGTAGTTGGAAGCACTCTGCTAAACAAAGACCCTAGACAAATTCACAAAAAATAGGAAAGAAGAAAAGTTCCTTGCTTCTACTCCTTGCTTAATTTGGAGAGTAAATGGTTCCTCTGAAACTATTTCCTGCAATCAACTGGTGATGAAGAAAATTAAAAGAGCAAATTGTTGGGTTTTTGTTTGTTTGTTTCCCTGGCACCTTCGTATTAATTAAAGAGGCCAGCATTGGCATGTCCCACTCTAGACAGACTTCTGTTAATCTCAAAGCATTGCACTGGCCAACACTGCAGCTAAAGATCTTTGCCTAAGAGCTTTTTCTTCTGGAGATTTCTTCCAAAGATTTAGTGATCAAGGCAAGTATAAATTTAGTTTATGGGGAAAACACATGTAAGGTGAAGTTAGTTAATGAAGAGAATGCGCTTAAGATAAAGGAATCACGATTTTATAAAGTTCAGTTCTGAAGGGTACTTAAATTTAAGAGAACTTATTTTGCACCTGCTATAGACAATGGAGCTATGCTTAGTCATTACGGGGAACAGAAAGATGAGTAAGACATGGTGTTCCCACATTTAAATTTCGTTGAAGGGGGGCAATCTTGTCGAAGGGCATGTTTTGCTTGTTTTTTAAGATTTACTAATAGTGGTCACAGAATTTGACTGAACCCTTCATAGTCACTCACATGGTCCTCTTCTGAAATGCAAACTGGTGAGCTAGCATTGTGAGTGTAGTGTATCATTATAGGAGAATTTCCTCCCCCCACCCCTTTTTTCCTACCTCAACCTATATGCTCAAACCCACAATCTTATTTAAATTACACGTTTATGTACTCAAATGAAGTCTTTAGAGCTTAACAGCATTTACATTTGCACAAGGAGGAAAGTGTAGTAAATGAACATGATTATCTGTGAAAGGATACCATAGGTTATAGATACTATATTATGGAGTCAAAAGTAATTAGAACAGCACAGATCAGAAATAGTACCTATTGAAAAATTTTGCTTATAATTTTCGGGACCCAGCTGGAAGTAGGCAAAAAAAAAAAAAAAATGTTAAGCAGAAGAAATACAGTAAATCATGGTCAAGCACTGTGGTTTACGCCTATAATCCTAGTACTCTGAGAAGATGAGGTGGGAGGATTGCTTGAGGACAGGAGTTCGAGACCAGCCTGAGCAAGAGCAAGACCCCGTTCTCTATAAAAAATAGAAAAATTAGCCAGGCATCCGTAGTCCTAGCTACTCAGAGGCTGAGGCAGGAGAATCACTTGAGCCCAGGAGTTTGAGGTTGCTGTGAGCTGCACATTAGCTGGGGCAACAGAGCAACACCCTGTCTCAAAAAATATAAATAAATAAAATAAAAAATAAAAAGAAATACAGCAAATCAATACAGTCCCAATCCAGCTTTATACTTATCTTGTTCTAATTTAAGGTTTCTCCTGCTGGTGGTGTTGGGAGTTTCAGTGGAATAATATATGCATATTTATGTTGTTTTCAGCCCACATAGTAAACATTTACTAATTAACTAAAATTGTAATATTTTATTGATCTTAAATTAACTCGACAAAGAGAGATTCCTAGGATAATTTGCTCTTTGGAATTTTCACGTAGCTTTAATATCAATAAATTAAATATAATAATTATAGCACTGAGGGACTTGACAATACCTTTAGAACTTTGAAATGCTCTGTTTTGCATCTTGTCACAACCATTACAATGTACTACTTTTTGTAGACTTGTGGGAAATTGAATTATCTTATGCATTGTTTTGAAACAAATAAAACTGACAAAGGAATGTAGACGAGACATTATTAATAATATTAGTGGAGAAATGAAATATCAATAAAACAAAGAGAACTTGACTAAATTCACTCTTAGAAAGAGTAACTGTGAGATAAACAAAATATAAAATATTATGTGTGTGATTAGAAAATCAGTAGTGTGTGTGTGTTCATGCATGTGCCAACACTCATGCACATAAAGGTCTCTCTATGCTTTTAAAGTTTGATCTGTATTTGGGGACTGTGGTTTCTTATGGAGAAACAAATGCTTCTATGGCTGCAAAACCTAGGAAGGCTTGAGACAGAGGATACAATGGGAAAAATTCTAGATTCCAAAAACATGTCATTGGAATGAAACTTTTGAAATATAAGTTCTTTATATGCCTAAAATAGTCTTTACTAGTTACCCCTGTAAACTTGGATATTTCTTATAGGATAAACTAAGTTTGTTACAATAAAATGGTAAAAATCGACAGCTTGGCTAACTTTTGTTTGTTCCTTCTATCTCATCCCCAGCAAAACTTAAGCAAATCTTTGGAGGTCTTGTGACCTAGAAGCATATGAAATTTAGAATCCATGTGATGGAAAAATCACTTTATTCACAATACATTATACAATACACTCAGCACATGGGGAAACAAACATGACTTCTACTTCTATATAATTACAGTTTGCTTAAATCTCCTTTCCTAACATATTTCTAAGAATGAATGTGCAAATAGTAGCAATCATCAACCTTATATGTTTTCTTCTTAGCAAGTCTCTCATGAACTATGAATGTTTTAAATAAGTGATTGGCCATCTTTTATAACTACCTCTTTTATTTTTGCCATTGTAGTACCTATATAGAATATTGTCCATAAACATTCACCTGAACAT